AGCAGAAAAGTGTAAATATTTTGTACACGTTTTAGTCAAAAATTCTGAATCAATTTCAAAAATTCTAAGAGTATTTGAAATATATTATTTGAGAATCATGCTGATAAATTTTGGACAAAGATCGGTCAAGCCATTTCTTTATAATTAACTATTAAAAATATTTATCGATGATTTTTGAAATTGAAACTTCTTATATTGATAGATATAATGGTCCTTAAGGTCCTTAATTAAACCACTTGTCTTAGGACCGTAATATTTTAGTATTCCTTAATTACCCAATTGTCCTAAGACAAGTGGTTTAATTTTGGAAATTCATCGAAGGTTGAAAAATGAATAAAAAGTGATAATAGACTTTTTTTTGATGTGATAAGTCAAAACATGAATTTCACAAATTTACAAGTCATTCCATAAACTCAATAAGAAAGAGGCATTTAGGTTTGCGAGAAGATCGGCCGAGCCATTTCTTTGGAACTACTAAAAAAAGCTTTTATGTAACAGTTTTCGCAACAATTCGAATTTCTTTATCTAAATATCTAAATCTCAGCTTCCGTTGTTAAGTCAATTATTACATCTATCAGAAAGTTTTTGCAACTTGTCTTAAGGCAAAATGTCGTCACTCTCAACTAGTTAAAACATGTAATGTCAAATAGCTCATAGAATTGTACTGTATTTTGATTGCTATTGAAAATTAAATAAAAATAATTACATGTAATATCATGTAGAGTTTATAAAATGAAGTAGGTAATAGTACCAAAATTTTTATGTGGATCATCCATTAGGTCGTGTGCAAGTAGCTTAACTTTCCGATCGCGCACTTGAATAATTCTATTTATCAAAGTGAAAAAGTAAATGAAGTAATACAATGCGATTAATCTTATTTCATAAGATCACATTTCTAGGTTTTGTTTTGTTTTAGGTCAAAGGTAGAGTTATGGTATCATCACCACGATTTATATCGATGGATGATACTCAGACGTGATTTGTTGACTTCGAAACTTTTTCTACGATTTGAATGAAAGGTCTAATATGATTTATTTGAATATCTAAAAAACCATAATTGTGAAATTAAAAGTATTGTTCAATATTTGCTTTTTAGATTATATGTTAATTTATCGGTCATGTTTTTACTGATGTAACATGCTTTTTTGGTAATGTGCATTGATAATTACTTTTTTGCGTCCGGTTTATTTACACTTTCAATTTTCTTAAGATTATGATACAGTATTTACACATACACTTACAACACATTATAAAATTGTTCTAAATACTTATAAGTTTTATTTACATTTTTTAAATTTAAAGTTGAATTATCAATCATATTTTGATAGAAAATATGATAACTTTGAAAATTGTTTTGTCTGTAAATCCATAATGTATTAAAAATATTGAAAACAAGATACTTAGTGATGATTTTAAATTCATTTGAATAATGTAGAGAAATCGATCATTTTGCATAAGATTCAAATATATACTTGCATCAAATTTTGGACTTGAAATTTCGAATGATGTATTTTGTGTACTAATTGATTTGGCAAAAGTACAATATTTTGAATTTCAACCCATTTAAGTATGCTAATATATCTATTTTAACCACGTAGAAAAAAATCTTCAATTTTGCCTCAGAATTTAATTGACATTCGGGTTCTTTACTAATTTTGTAGTATTTTTCAAATCTGCATCTTGAATATACCAATTTATTGGCTATTTTTCTATGTCTATTTTTTGATGTGACAGATATTAGTTAAATGTTACCATCAAAACATAATTTTATACTTATGATAAATATGAACTGGCAAAAATTACTCCTTTTTTAAACTACAATCAAAACTGTGGAAAAAGAACCCAACGGTTGCCCTATCTATATTGGATAAATTGACATTATTATAATTTTTTCAGTACTGGTGATGAATTCCTAATTTGAAGCAATTTCACCTGAAAACTATTTTACCTATAATTTATATCTATATTTTTGAGTGAAAAGGATATCACTACTGATTGAGAACCAGGTAGGCAGGAGTGAATATCAAACCTGGAACATTGGTTTGTAAGATCAAAACAATCATCGGGTAATCCAACAATTAAAAATGATTATATTTGGAATTGTGTTAGAAAATAATGAGGAAAACTATATTGATTCGCTATGCTACCAATAAAAAAATAATTTAAAAATTAAAATGAAATCCTGCCGAATTTATTTAAAGAAAACATTCTTGCGCACAATAATATGAGAAAGTAATGGGTCTGAACAATAGAGATAATTGAAATTATAGAATTTTGGCGACGTGCAGAAAAGAATGAAGTATGACAGCAGCGTAGAAAAGAGAACTGCATCATGGACCTGCCTTTAAATTATAGTAGATGGATTAATTACAATTACCTACCAGTTCTTATGATATTCACTTCATACTGTATCACAAATATAAAAATGGGACCATTCCCAATGATAAACAAATAATAATATAATTATACCGATGGATCTCGAAGTAATCACAATCGTGTCTTCTATTGTTTTGAAATCGGACGCACCGATCTGTTTTATTGCTGCAAATAACAAAGTATTTGCAGTCGCAATTAGCGTTTTATTGAGTTCTGATCTGAAGATAATCTTCTGATTTAAAAGAGATAATGAGATCGATTGTGAAATAAATCGAACGGCATTTACCTACCTATGGCAAGGCTGGTCTTTGAACCTTATGTTTCAGAAATTAAATCGATACGTGACCATAAATTTGTTTTACTGATTTGAAGCAGATCTGAAAATGAATTATTTTTCGTTTCGATTTACTGACGGAATCAGTGTTCTTTCTTGATACACAACGCCAAATTTTCTTATAATATGTTGATATTGTAATCGAACAAAATTGTTTATCTTTGAACAAAAAGCTGCCCTTAACATGTAATTCGCATAGAAAATTAACACCAAAAACCAATTGTGAACATCTTTTTATTTAATTATTAATTTAGAATAGAACTCAAAATAATTCTATGAGCTGTTGTAATAAAATTTCTGATAATTGACCTGATAATTTCTGATACATTTTCATAGGAGTTTCTCAGTGAAATGTCCAATCTGATGATGAATTGAAGATTGGACATTAAAGATTAAAAAATTAAAGCTCTTATTTACTACTAAAACTATGACAAGCCCTGCAACAATTTGAAATATTTTTTTATTTTTTGAGTGATGTCGAAAATGTTGTTTGATAACTTAAAACTATGGGTGGTTTTGAAAACACTCTTACATAGGTATTATATTTTTAGTGCAAATTCAACAAAGAAATTTTTAAATTTGTGTTAAATGGCATTTATTGACCTAAAAAAATCAAAAATTTAACACTATTAAAATTAATTAAATTTGTTATTTTTTTCTTAAATCTGTCTAGATGAAATGAAGAGTTGTCCATTAATAAAACTTTAAAAATTGTATAAATATTGAATTTGAAATATTTAAAAAATCAAAATTCCATACCTTTGCTTTTTGCAAATTTTGAATCAAATTTTATGATTAATTTAAAAAAATCTTTATATTTGAGATCCTCTTTTTCATAAATAAACTAGATAACTACATATATATTTTAGATTTATTGTTTTATGATTAGGTTGAGTAATTCTATAGTAACACAGTTTCAAAAATTCTCCATTGACTTATCATTGAGCATAAATCTGTTTTTGTATTTGGTATATCATTATGTAGTAATTTTTATAAATACCACATATACTAGACTCAAAGTCCCTAATGTAGCTCTCTGCTATTTTTTGTCTCTATTTCTCTCTGCCATTTTTGGACTATTTTATTTTTTGTGTATTTCTACAAATCGGTACAAAAAGTTTCGAATGAAAATGTTAAGGATAAAAAAATGAGAACTGTCATATGAGCATTAAATGATTAGATTCTTAAATGTGTTACCTAATTTTCAAAGTAAATTTACTGTGAATAAACGATAACTATAATATAATTTAATATAACATAACATAATAAATATCATTACAAATTTTGATACTAGTTCCAGATAAAACTAATGTTTAGGAATGGATTTAATTGGGAATGAGGTGCACTTTGAAACAGTAAAATTTTAATTTTAATATATTCCTGAAATACATAAATTCTTGCATCCCAAAAATTTCCTACACTTCAAATTTCAAAAACCATGAGAATATCATATGTCCGATATTCCACTAGATGTAACCCAAAACTCGTTACCTTGAAAATTGCAAAATTATTTATTGTAATGTTTATTGTTCTGTAAATTTATGCAATTAAAAATTACTTTTGTTTTTTGTGCAAGTCGTCCTATCCATTACATTGCGTAACGTTGACCCGTGACAATACGCGTCTGTGAGCGTTTATTAGCCGATAAACAATTTGTTTTAAATGTACTAATCTTATTGAATGTTAATTAATTAATTTTAATCGAGATTTTTTTCAGCCGCTAATTCACACGCTTTCGCGTGAACGTGCCGCGTATAATTCACTGAAACGAATAAATAGCGGTTGCGAAATGTCTACACAGCTCAACACTCGGATAGAGATGAGATTTTGCAACGATTTATTCAACAATTCAACAATTCTATTATTATTATCCAAACTATTTACAATGCCGTTGACAAAAGCTGCATTCTCATTAAATATCTGTACGAGAATATTTTTTTTTTAAATCACTTGATGGTGAGATCTTCATATACCTGCAATATCGCGTACCGAATTATATACAACGTGTTATAGACAAAGTATAAGAAAAGAATTTTGGATTATGTGCTTTATTCAATATATCCAAAAGGTCTAAGCCCAATATTGTTTTTGTTTCATTGCCTGCTCGCCTGATATATTGGCTGTCTGGCTGCCTTTCTAGCCTCTTGTCTGTCTTTGTGTTTTGCTAATAACCTATGCCATTTTTCTATTTGCCTATGGTATTTTTGACACCTTTTGTTTTTTGGCTATCTTTCCTTTTCTTGACCATCTCTGCTCTGTCTTCGCCTGTTTTAGACGGCTTTTTTTGGCTCTACTTGCCCTTTTTAGGCGCTACTCGCCTCCTTTTTGGCGCTATTTGCTCACATTTGTCTCTCTCTGCCAATTTTGTCCCCATCTCCTGCCGTTTTCTGTCTCCATCATCTCTCTGCCATTTTTTGTCTAGACCATCTCCCTGCCATTTTTTGTCTACATCATTTCTTTGCCATTTTTTGTCTATATCATCTCTCTGCCATTTTTTGTCTAGATCATCTCTCTGCCATTTTTTGTCTAGATCATCTCTCTGCCATTTTTTGTCTCTATCATCTCTCTGCCATTTTTTGTCTCTATCATCTCTCTGCCATTTTTTGTCTATATCTCTCTGCCATTTTTTGTCTATATCTCTCTGCCATTTTTGTCCCTATAATTTTAATTAAATTCGCGTAAAAATATAAATTTTTGTAAAGGCTTTGCTGTTATTTTGTGAAACTTTGTCATACGATAATCAAAGTACTAATTAATTACAAAACATAACAAAACATTTTATTAGTTTAATTATTTAGTTTATAATTTTTTTCAAATAATAAAAATTAGAGTGCAAATTGTCTTTATTAACGAGTAGTCTTCTCATACAACGAATAAGCACTTTGAATCTATGTCAAGATTACTCTTGCAACATATTTTGAAGTATATCAGACAGATAATTCCTTGTGATGTCAGTGTAAAGGATACGTCTAAATCAATCAATTTTATTAATACTAAATGACAAAGACAAAGACAAATTTTATTATAAGCTTTCGAAATGAACGGTAACAAACAAAAAAATATATATATTAAATTAAACAAAAATTGAATATGGTAAATTTTAGTTTTAATATATTTCAGAAATCAGCATTATATTGTATTTAATAATATGATTTTTGAGGAGATTGTCACCCCGTCTATCTATAATCTCTACTACGAAGTTGTTGTTTTAGTCTTTATAACTAATAATCATTCTAAATAAAATAAATATTTTAGATACCAATCAATGCAAACATATTTCTAAAGAACTCATTACATAATTCTGTAAGAAATTGATTAATTTAAAACCATGCAACACGTTCATATATGATTATGGGTTAGAAATAAAGATTTCCTTTTATGCAGTACTTTTAACGACTACTCATTTGTATATCTCATAGGAATTTATTCATATGATAGTAAAGATAATTCATCTTATTAATAAAAGGTCATACTACGCTAAAAATCAGTTTCTGAAGTTTGTAAGATTGTATAAAAAAAAACTTGGATAAAAAACATGAATTCTCTATAATTACTATCACCTCGTCTCTTACTATTGCGCTATTTTTAACATCCAAAATCAAAATTTTTGCGTATTTTAATGTTTCAAAGGTTTCTGAACATTTTCGCATACCTTCGAAAAAATATATGTATGTATGTGTATGAATGTTTGGGTACAATTTTTTGTCCACGATGTTGGGAGCACGGATCAACCGATTTGAATTATTCAAAAGAATTTAAATTTGTATTGACGGTGAAATATGCTGATTAGTTTTTGGCTAGCGCTTTCGGAAATCTAGAGCAAGTTAATTGAATAACAATTTTTGAAAGAATGGCGCATCCGATTACAGTGATTCACCAAGCATATTGCTTGGCGAAGAATTAATTTGGTTTGGTTTATTTTATGTTTCTATTTTTGTAGATAAAATAGATAATGGTCTTATAGCAATTTACATTTTATGTATAAAATATAAAGATGAAATTTATGATAATTATTTCAAAAAACTATTTTTATCCATTTTAGTAATTTTTTCTCATGGAAGTTAAATTTATTCATTCAGTCCATTTTGACTGCATTGAAAGCCATCAAATTGATCATTGTACAAAATGAAATTTTGCAGTATTAATGTCATCCATCAAATCAATCCATTGTTGTTTCAGATTAATATAATTTAGTTTCGAGGTCTCCAAATCATTAGTATGTGATTTAATATCTGTGTACATGTATTGTATTGATTAATAATTAATTATTGCAACATAGGTACTATGTTTGAATATGTCATGAAACCCATTAGAGGAAGGAATAAGCTAATTTTCAAATTAAATTCACATGTTACAGTTTTCGAGTATTGGATTATTGGTAGACTTATTTCAAAAGTAATATTTGTAAAAATTTAATACAGTTATGCACCATATATAGCGAAAGACATCATTTTTGCCAGAAAATCTGATTTGTTAATTTTATGCTTTCTCGCAGCTTCGAGTCATTCTGAATCAAATAAGAACATTGTGTGTTCGAGTATTTGAGCCGATTTTTGACCTTTTGAAATTGAAGTTTTCTCAAACGTCTGCACAATCATAAAAAACTCTTTAGTTATTTTTAGGTATAAGTATTCCTGAATTTAATTTATACTGAATTAACTTATATAGACTAAATTTAATTTGATTATATAGAGGAAACGAAAGTATTACAAATTTCTATCGTTAGCAAATAAAAGTATATTGGTAACATATTTTATTAATAAATATTTGTGTTTGAATTGAAGATTTTCCAGAAGTTGCTAGGCTTATTGTATAAAATTCTGTCTTAACGTCTTTTAATTCAGAAGTAGTTAGGATAAATAAAAATAATATATAAAAAAACCGGAGAAGAGAATTTTTAGGAATAAATACTATAAAACAAACATTTAGTTTATATATAATATAATTTGTAATGTATAATCATATTTGAATGTTAAAAAAATCAATTCATCCAACCAAATTTGTAGTCATACGTATGTTTATATTATATATATATATATATATATATATATATATATATATATATATATATCTATGTGTGTATATGTATACATTAATTATCTTGTAAGCATAAATTTGTAAAATACTGCAATATGGTGAAAAGCAATCGTCTAATGATTTCGATTCATAATTTACAAGTTGATCTTGATGATAAATTGTTATTAAGCATTCTCAACAAGAATAAATATAATACGCTCATTAGCGAAATAATAAAAAAACAGAATTACGAAATATCTAAAAATATAATTTAGCTTTCATGAATGTTAGATAATGCAACTTTTTTAGATATTAATACAGACGATAAAGATTTACTTAATGATCAAGAGTTAGTTAGAATAATCTTGTGTATCCGTAACTTGAATTAAAATATTTTCAAAATTGAAACATTTTTTCATATTTTATTTTATTATATTTTTCTATTCCTAATAGACAAATTTTAAAAATTTAATCACAAACATTAATAGTTAATTTTAAGATTTGTGTTTTTAATTTCACACAAAATTAGTTAGTGCACTAAAAATGCAGTGACTAATTGCGTTCTCTGTAGACAGACCATCATGCTTCAACAATAATTGATTTAATAGCTTTACAAACAATATCAAATTATCTTTTTTATTAAAATTATATTTTTTTTTAATAAATTATCTCTAAGAAAACCGGGATTTGATCAAACACAACTTCAGTCAGTACAAAATCTCAGTAAGGTAAATCATTGTAATCGTCTAAAAATCGAAATTAATTTTTTTTTCATATCTTCCAGTTTTTAAGGTTTCTGAACATTTTGACATATCTTACAAAAAATGTATGTGTGTGTATGTATGGATACAATTTTTTGGGCGCACGGATCAACCGATTTGAATGATTCAAAAATATTTGATTCGTATTGATAGGGAGATGTATTGATTAGTTTTTGACAAAGGTAGGTCCAGCCGTTTTAGAGATACAAAGCTAAATATGCAAAAATTGCAGTTTTTGAGAGAACTTAGCATCCGATTTGAATGATTCGAAAAATCTGCTTGTGTTAAAACGATTGCTTTTGGGGAAAAATATTTTTTCTAACTAAATTTTATTTTTTGAATATCTCATTATGGAACGGAAACTTTCAGCAATTTGCCTTAATGCACGATGCCATACACCACTAGTTAACTTCTTGATGGAGAATTTTTTTTTCGTAAAAAAATCCTTTTCGCTAATTTTATGTTTTCTTGACGTTTCAAGCCATTGTGAATCGAATGAGACCAAATTTTGAAGAAGTATGTGTGTGTGTGTGTGAATAGATTTTTTGCCGTAAATCGACGTTTTCTCAAAAAACGGCAGGATCATTTTTTAAAATATAAAAGGTGCTGGATCGTTTTTTAAAATTTTAAATTTTCGATAAGGACTAGCGTTTACCAATTTTGCACGACGATCAGCCAAACCTTATCTTTGTATATAGCAGAAAAGTGAAAAATTTTTCGTCCACCTCTTAGCCCGCAGTTCTGAATCAATTTTGAAAATTCAAAAACCGTTCGAAAGATATTGATTGGGAATCGTGCTGATGAGTTTTGGGTAGAGATTGGCCGGGCCGTTATCTTGTAATAAAGTGTGGAAAAAAACTTTTTCGGCGATTTTTATTATTTTCAAGATACCATAGTCTTCTTGATCATACTAAAATCTTACGACCCTACGGCAACTCGTTTAGCTTTAAAAATTCGTCAAAGTTTGCAAAAATTAGTATCGTTTTATTTGGCATTTGTCAAAATTAGACTTTCATCGACGTTTGGTCAAAAACGCCTGAACCGATATCAGAAATTTAAAAACCATTTGATGTGCCTCAATGATGACTATCGCTTGTCAGTTTTGTGCGACGATCTGCCCAGCCATTTCTCTGTAATTTGGAGAAAAGTGTTAAACTTTTCGTCTACATTTAAGCTCATACTACCGAATCGATTTTAAAAAATCAAAATTGTTCGAAAGATATTAGGTGGGAATGATACTGATTAGTTTTAGGTGAAAATCTACTGAGCCGTTTTCTTGTAATTCGTTGTTGAAAAACAAAATTGAGCCGATCTTTATGAAACTTTTATTGATGATATATATCATGGTCTTATAGAACTCACTGAAATATTACGGTCTTAAAACAAGTAGTTCAATTTTCAAAAATCTTCAAAGTTTGAAGAAATGAGTAGTTTTTTGACGATTTACTTGGTATAACGATACGGTACTTAGTCTTACATACTATAAACCATTAAAGTCTTACGGAAACTCGTTCACTTATAAAAATTGATGATTTTTGAAAATTTGCTTTTAGAAAATACTCCGAGTTAACGTGTTCGTTCGTTTGCAAGTATGTGTAATAAATCCATTTGGAATACTTTTAATCACTCATAAATTAATTTATTTTTTATTAGGTCGATTATTTACGCATATCGGGAAGTTCATGTAACTTGCCTCAAGGCAAAATACCAATACCAACTGGTTTAGTTTTGTATTCTTTGCAATATTTTAATAAAATACTATACTGACGAGTTGAGTACTCACCGACGCACGATTTTAATAAATCAATATATAATTACGATATTCTTCTATCCGTTGTATATTGAGGATGTTTTTTATGATTTTGCGGTCGTTTGATAA